TCAAATAATCTAGATGTGCTTATGCAGTGGTTTCCAAAAGTTCTTGTACATTTCATTTAGAAACCATTCTTCTTGGTTTTTTAAATTGAGATATAATTGAGATATAATTCACATGCCATAAAATTCACCATTGGAAGGTGTACAATTTAATGGTCTTTAGTATATTCACAAGGTTGTCATCACCCCCAAGAGAAACCCAATTATTACTACCCCAACATTACTCTTCACCATTCAGCCCTTTTCCTCAGGCCCTGGCGACCACTAATCTACTTACTGTCTATAAGGATTGCCTATCCTGGACATTTTATATAAATGGAATCACATAATATGTGGCCTTTTGTTCCTGACTTCTTTCATTTAGCAAGTTTTCATGACTTCATCCATGTTTTTTAAAGTTTTTTTAATTATTATTTTAAAGTTTATTTATTTTGAGAGAGAGAGGGTTGGGGAAGGTGGAGCAGAGAGAAAGGAAACCAAGAATCCCAAGCAGGCTCCATGCTGACTGTGCAGAGCCTGATGAGGGGCTTTAACTCATGAACCTGAGCCAAGATCAAGAATTGGACACTTAATCGACTGAGCCACCCAGGCACACTGACTTCATCCGTGTGTTAGCATGAATCAGTACTTCATTCCTTTTTGTGGATGAATAATATTCTAATACACTGTTTATCCATTTATTTTGTTGATCTTCATCAATTGATGGATATTTGGATTGTTTCCACTCCTGGCCTATTTTGAATAACAAACGCTGGAGAACAGGTTTTTGTGTGGAAATGTTTTCAGTTCTCTTACATATCTAGGGATGGAATTACTACGTCATATGGTAACTCTTGTTTCATGTTTCAGGAACTGCTGAACTGTTCTACATAGGATCTGTATCTTTTCACCTTCCCCACTGGCAATGCACGAGGGTTCCAATTTCTCCACATTGGAGAACACTTACATTATCAATCTTTTATTATTATCATTATTATTATTATTATTATTATTATTATATTCCACCCATCCTACTGGCTACAAAGTGGTTTCTCACTGCAGTTTTGATTTGCATTTCCCAGATGATTAATGATATGGAGCATCTTCTCATGTGCTTATTGGCCAATTGTTTAACTTCTTTTCAGAAACATCTGTTCAGATTCTTTGCCCATTTTTTAAACTGAGTTATCTGTATTTTTGTTGTTCTGTTATGGATACCAACCCTCACCAAATATATGACTTGCAAATATTTCCTTCAATTCTTCAGCTTTTCTTTTTACAAAAATGTCTTTAGAAATCATAATTAAGAAACTGTTGCCTAATACAATGTCACAAAAATTTAGTTTTATACGTTTAGCTCTTAAGTTTAGGTGATTGAGGGGCGCCTGGGTGGCTTAGTCGGTTAAGCGTCCGACTTTCGCTTAGGTCATGATCTCACGGTTCGTGGGTTCGAGCCCCATGTCGGGCTCTGTGCTGACTGCCAGCTCAGAGCCTGGAGCCTGTTTCAGTCTGTGAATCCCTCTCTCTCTGACCCTCCCCTGCTCACGCTGTCTCTCTCTCTCTCTCTCCTAGAAATAAATAAAACATAAAAAAAAAAAAAGTTTAGGTGATTGACCCATTCTGAATTACTTTTGTATACGGGGTCAGAGATCTGAATTCATTCTTTTACATGTGCCTATCTATTTGTACCAGCACCATTTACTGAAAAAAACTTCTTTCCTTCACTGGATTCCTTTGGCATCCTTGTCAAAACTCAGTGGACCAGAAACATATGGTTTACTTCTGGACTCTTAATTTTATTCCACTGATCTATATAGCTACCC